TATCCAAATTACATGTTGACAAACCAGAAAGTCCTATGGACAGATTAGAAAAATGTGGACTTTTTGCTAACATCAGCTCTATGTTCACGGATGGAAAAAAAAACGAAGCATATCAAGAAGCAAACACTTTCCCTGCTGTAAATATGATGGAGGCTCTGTTATGCTGTGGGCCTGCTTTGCTTCATCTGGTACAGGGTCTCCTGAAACTCTGCAGGATCCAATGAAACCTCAAGACTATCGCTGTGTTATAGAGAGAACTGTGCTGGTCAGTGTCAGACGGCTTGGTCTCAGTCGCAGGTCTTTAGTCTTCAGCAGGACAATGACCCAAAACAGCTAAAAACAGCCAAAAACAGCACCAGAAACCATTCTACTATTCTGAAGTGGCCCCCAGGAGCCCCAACCTAAACCCTAATGAGCATCTTTGAAAGGAAAAATGAAAACCTTTGTTTGCTTATGAGGAGTGGAAATAAAGTATCTCCTGAGAGGAGCAGAAGCCTCACTGACAGCTACAGGAATCCACTGATTGCAGTGGTTGTCTCCAAAGGTTGTGCAACAAAATATTAAGTTAAGGATGGCATACTGGTGAAAATTCCCTGTCATCCAGGTCATAGTCATTCCAAAAACGTTAAAAAGCAATCCATTGGACTTGGTTTCCAAGTTTGAAGACGTTTCTTTTCCCATCCAGGAAGCTTTTTCAATTCAAAATGTCAGGAATAGCGTTGAGTTCGAGGTTATATAGATTTGACCAGAGATAAAGCCTTGTTTTGCTTAGAAAACATGCATGCATGCATCTGGGTCGTCCCTAGCGACCTACATTTTAAAGGGGCGGACCTGTTCGTCCGGGAAGCGAAACATCTTCAAACCTGGAAACAAAGTCCAGTGGATGTTTTTTAACTTTTTTGGAATTAAGGGTACCATCATTTTCATCCAGGCCTGATTGATGAGCTTATACTTTCAAATCATTTTCTTGAAGCACCTTTGAAAAGTAAATTACTTTCATTTGTTAATTTTCATAAAATTGTATTGTTACTTTTGTAAAATTCAAGTTATTTTTCTAACTATTTTTTTCTTTAATTAAAGGAGGGGAACCAACATTTTGTCCATGTGGGAAAAATGTTTTCGAAGGCACTAAAAAGTCGATCTTTTCAGGAAATATTCATCATCATCTAATGTGTTGCTGTTTATCAGGTAGGAAGCAGCGAGTTTCCAGCCTCCACAGTCTGGTTAGTTGGTACCGGGATCACTCGGCCTCATGTCCCCACGAACCGCAGCTCCGAGCTCTGGAACCCAGGCCTGACCGCTCCACCGCCGCCGTCTGGCAGTGCCTCTCAGACCACTCCTTCATGCAGTTTCTTTACTCGCCCCTGAAGGACGTCAGTGACTCTGAGCAGGAAGAGAGAGGAGATGGAGACAGTGATGGAGAGGCTGCCAACAAAGTGGACACGGCTAAACGAACCAGGAGCCGGCAGAGAAGAAAGGGAGGCCATAGAAAGTGTAAAGGTGCAGCGTCATAACGATGAGGTCTGATTTAATGTGATTATTTTTCTAACTGGTGTTTTTCTGTGTTTTTCTCCCATAGATGAACTAACTGAAGCTGTGAACCAGACTGAAGAAGATGGAGGCCTATACAGCCAGTCCAGAGTAGAGGATTCATCTCAGGATGCTAGCGGGACACGGCAGCCTGCCTGGGATGCAGCATCCTTACACTCTGCCTCTGCTGAGGAAGAGGAGGCAGCAGAGCTTGAGGATATGAGTCGAGTTACAGATGAAGGAGAGGGGAAAAGTCTCAGGGAGAGAGAAAGCAGGACTCTTGGGTCTGATTCCAGCGAGGCATCTGAAACAGACAGACTGGATCAGCACTCTAAAAGCTTGAATGGTTCCGTCCCGCTGAGCTCTCAGCTGGAGCTGTCCGTCCCACCAGCCGTCCACGACCAGCAGGTGGAGCTGTTCCACCCTCGGCCTCTGCACACAGCAGCGACCGGCTGCCAGATCCCTACCCAGCCGACGCCTCTGGAAGGCTCACAGGTTAGAAACAGGAGATTTCACAAACTGATAGATGTCAGAAGGTCAGGAAGAACTGCCTGGAAAGCAGCAGGCCAGAAATGAGTATGTTAAAGTAAACTGTAAAGAGTTTGTAAGATGGTTTTTCTATGAACAGCAGAGTTTGGCCAGAAGCAGTCTGATCCACAAAACCTTGCAGTTAAAATGCAAATCTTATTTTTTTATTTTTTTTAGGGTCAAACTATTAACCCAAATGAAAAAAAACGGTAACACGTTTTAATTTGATTAATTACAGCATAATATAATAGATTAGCACTACGTCCATGTAGCTTCATGTTTTAGGAATCAAGAAAGTCCTTATTTATTTCCTCTTGTCCTTTCCTTATTCCAACTGTCCTTACTTTTATACTTCTTTGTTTCTTTCTTTCTTTTCCATCCATCCTTTCATTCATCCTGTCTCTTTACTACGATCAAAGTTTTCTGCTGTAAAATGATCTGCCATAAATTCAAACGATTGCCTTAAACCAACACCGTATAACGTTTGACCCAACGATCAGTTTAATTCGAGGTGTTGTAATTGATTTTTCAGGTCAATATTTATTACTTTGATGCTTCCTGCTGGTTCCTCTTCTCTAAAACTCTCCTCTGTACCATGCGAAGGTTGGTCAGCAGTCTGAGCTATCTAAGCTAAACCTTGTGAGGCAACAAACCAGATATGAGCCCAACCTGATCAGACATATTCATTGTTCTCTGGTGTAGCATTTAATCTAGGGGGGTGACCTTGTGTGGTCTTGCCTGAGAGTTAAAGTGTCTCTTCAAAAAGAGTGGCCACCTCTCTCCTCTAATTCTATATCCATGTAAATACCTGATGGTGTGTTGGACCAGGAACCAGACCCTGAAGGGTTGGAGTTGACCCACCCCAGCCTTAAAGGATGAAGGAGTCTAGGAAATGATTAAATAAAAACAAATACAGACCTTTTAATGAATCTATTTGGCTTCTTGCTTTCTTTCCCAGTTAATCATCATCAGTGGTTCCAGTTATGAAGCCTTGGCGTCAGAAGGAGTCCAGCTCAACACGGGCAGCGGAAACATGGAGGAGGTTTCTTGCACCGTCATCGGTGGTGTCGCCTACAACCAGCTGTGTGTGCCCGACTTTAAAGTCGAAGCAGCAGAGGAAGATTCCCTGACAGGTAGCAAACATTTACAACAAACCATTGTAAATATAATTTTATCTCACTAAGACCCCAAACCTGATGGCAGGAGGCCAGAACACAACAATTCCGATTTTGCGTCTAATCCAACAGAAAATCGTACCAGATGAGGTCATGGCGTTTAGCACTCATTGAAAGTCAATGGGGATGATCACACCAGACACGATGCAATGAGGAGTTCACTGGAAAAAAATCTAAATCTAGATTAGTCATTTTTTCTTAAAATAAGTGCATTTGTTCTTGGATTGAGGAGGTAAAAGAGAAATGTTACCAATGGAACAAGACAATTTACACTTTAAATAAGAAAACACAACTGCATTGTCTTATTTCAAGTGCATATTATCTAATTATCTTGTTTTAAGAGTAAAAACACTCATTCCATTGTCAAACTATCTAATTTCCCTACACAAATTAAAGGTAGATGCATTTAATTTAAGACATTTTGACTTATTTCAGCAATTATGCAGCAGTATGTCAGTCTGACAGGAAGAGAGACGCGGTTACAATGTAAAATACATCTCGTTTGGGGGAAAATCCGAAATAAAACGTTAATCGCAAAAGTTAGTTTTGGAGTTGCACATCGCATATATAGTGAGTGGGACAGACTCATGTAATAACGATCAATGAAACATTAAAAATGATTACTTTGCCCATGTTAGGAGTTCAGGGGGAAAGAAAACAGATAAATTACTGAAGCTCTTTGAGCCCCACAACAAATAAACTAACGAGGTGCAGACAGAGCAGGTTAGCGCGATCTATCTCTCTCTCACCTCTTTAGGAAAAAAGAAAGAAAAACTCTGATAAACTTTCCAGATCTCTCTCTGAGAATCTTTTTCTTTTCTTTAGACGTAGATCTCATTATGTTTTCAATAAAGGCAGATTGATATTGTCTTTTCTGGTTTTAGATGCCGCACAGATTCATTTAGTTGTTGTTGTTTTTTTTTTTTGTTGTGTACATAATCTGTCCAAATCAAATGTGGGAAATTGTGTTACATGTTGGGGGGCTGCTCAGTGACTCAGTGGGTAGAACTGCTGCTCTGCAGAAAGGAGGTTCTGGGTTCTGGGAGTTTGCATGTTCTCCCTGAGCATGCATGGGTTCTCTCCAGGTACTTTGGCTTCTTCCCACAGTCCAAAAACATGACTATTAGGTTAATTGGCTTCACTAAGGTACACCCTGTCCAGGGTGTACCCCGCCTCTCGCCTGTAGACAGCTGGAGATAAGCACCAGCACCCCTCGTGACCCCACTTGGGATTAAGCGTGTCAGAAAAAGGTTGGATGTTTTAATTTGTGAATAGCACAGAGACAAAAGTGAAAAAAAATCTTCACAGATCTGCCCACCCTGCCTAGTCGGAGCCTCTCTACACACAGTCTGTGTGACATGGAAAAAAGTCCGAGCAGATTTAAAAGTCGTACGCAAACGGTGTGTTCAGGCCTTTCATAGGAGGAGATGTTTCTCTGAGAATCTTTTTATTTTTTAGGTTTATTTTAGTATTCACTAAAATTCTTATGTACTAGAATTTTTTTTAATAGTTGTTTTTGATCGTGTTAACTGGTTGAATTTCATAAGGAGAACTTTTAAAGAAGTCATAACCTGGTATTAAAATTCACATTCAATCATTTTTAGGAGAAAATCTTTATAAATAAAACAATTTGTTCTTAATTTGATACTTTTATAACATAATCAGTGTGTATGTCTGTATGTCTGTTCATGGGGATATAGCGTTAGCAACTTTGCACAATAGAAAGTTACAGAAGCAGCAAGGCTTACTTAAGACTGCCTGAAAAGAGACGGGACCCCTCTCACTAATTGCGTTATTCATGGAGATATTCTGTGGAGAGCGTCCCCTTGTGGGCATTTCTGGTTTGAACAGAGAGGCTAAGTAAAACAAAAACATTCCTGACACTCCTGATTGCAACTGATTTTCCTGAAAAAGCAACAGAGAAACTGGCTAAAGAGTAACAGCTTACTCAGCTATCGAAGCTGTTAATGCAAATCACCGACACGGTTCATGCTGCCTCATGAGGAAGTCAAAGTTCCTGTGTTCCTGTGGAAGTTAGAAATTCCATTATTTTATCTAAAGCCATTCAAATTTCCATCCATATGATCAGGTCGGCCCCCTGCAGCTTAGGGGGCGGTCACTCCCAAGGAAGTCACACCTGCAGCTGTAGAGGGCGCCTTGATTGAATGTGGGGGGTACAAATGAGAATCGGATGGCTTCTTTCCTCAAACAGAAAAGGAAAGTAGTTGTTGCTATGGCAACACGGTGATGCCCCATATGTCTGGCTGTAGCAGGTTTGCATAAAATCAAACAGTTGCCCCTTTTTTAAAACAAATGTATATGCAATTGACGTATTTTGAAGAGGATCTCCCCTTTTTGAATTATTGATGTTTTTTTTCTTTTTCCTAACTTTTGGGTCCTTAATATGGAGGACCCTCCACGGGAACATGCAAAGGAAGGGTTAGTGCTCAGGGTTAGTGGCTGTTTCAGAACATCCGCCCGAACCCCTAAATCCCTCGATCACTTTAAAGTGCGCTTTATAGCGAACTCAGTTAACTCACCGTTCAGAAAGATGATCAGTACTTTTCATTTCCTGCTGGTCATGTAACTCCGCCTCTAGTCGCCACCATCAGGTAGCGACATACTATGGCGACAGCAGGCCGCTGTGACAGCAAATCCCATAATGCTTTGCGAGGAGAGCTCTCCACGCAAAGCATTCAGTGATATATCTGCTCGTCCATAGACCATGAATGATCACTACTTTTCTAGGTGCATTGTGGGAAATTTCAAGTCCACTACTTCATCCACTAGACATTCAGACACTAATTTAAAATGGCGTAACCATTATATACAGCCCTATATAGGGGTTAAGGTGGACATTCTGACACAGAAAATGTATAGAGGCCAGTCTGGGATTGGGCCATATCAGGAAGCAGAGCGCAGCAGTGAAAATCTTCCTTCCTGCCTTTCGGTTAGTTAGTTCCCATAGTTTCTAACTCCACAACATCCACAGAAAATCACTGCTGTTTTATGGATGCAGACAGTTTCCGTTCTAGTTTGACTTTATTTTGCCTGTAAAACTACATCATGCAGTGTTAGTTAAAAATTATCAGTATGAATTTTCCCCACAATGTTTCCGGGAGCAACGAACATCCTCCTAAATCTAAGGAGATTAGTAACCAGCCAGTGGTTGCTTTATGGTGAACAAAGCTGAGACGGCAGAGTCTCATATGGTCTCTGCAGTGGAAATAATGTTAATCATTAACTGATGCTTAAAACACTGAATTATAAGTAGTCTAAGTATGTCTGAGGATGCTGACATAACATAGATAAGCATATAACTAAAATACATATGATTGGTCAAATGCTGTAAGGTTTTCTTGTTGTAGACAAAGTTCAGAAAAATGGTTGGAAGTATAAATAGTGTCCATGCTCATTAAATAAGCAAACAGCACATCATGTCCTTTGCTGATCAGTGAATGCATCTTATCTGATGACCATAACCGCTTTGGATGTGAATGGGGTTGGTGTCAAAGACTCAGGTTTTAGTGTCACTAGAGAGATAAAATGAAAGGTCAGAGAAAGCTCAGGGATGTGAGAAACTCTTTGAAGGAGAACTTCCATTGTGTTATTGACCTCTAAAGTGTTGAGGATTGTCTGCAGTTCATTCAGGGAGAAAAAGTCGGAACAGTTAACAGGGAGGATGAATCAATCATTCATTGACTTCAAACACTCGTTCATTTATTTAGTATTTTTTGTTATCAAACAATCTGTTGTTGGGGTTACAGCCTGAAGACACTGTGGCCCCGTCCACACCAAGTCAAAACGAACACAAAACGCTAATATTTTCCAGAACGTTTGTCTTAAAGACGGAGACGTAAAATAAATGTGATCGACCACATGAATGCATGAAAAGCAAAAATAGGCGAAAACAGGCAACGAAATGTTGGGCATGCGCAGTAATATTTATACAACAACCAAACCGGAAAACCGGAAAATGGCCGTGCGGGTCCATTTTCGTGGTTCAGTCAAATTGAGGTGCTGAACTATGTCGTCGATATTGCTCTGTTCTTCCTGGAGATATTCCAGAAGAAGAAGATTCTGTTGTAAGCCCGACAGCAGGGTGAGTAGCATGAGCAGCAACCATTCAACACAGTACGGCGCCATTGTTGTTGTGATACTGTGTCGCGCATGCGTGTTTAGAGGCGACGCTATGACGCATGCGTGTTAGAAAAAAAATGCGGTTAGAGCTTAAAGATGGAAACGCAAAAACTGTGTTTCAAAATCTTCCCACTCTGAAGGCTGAATAAAAAAAGACCCCCGAAACGCCGGCTTCGTATGGATGAGAGGCTGGTTTGGTGAAAAATTAGTGAATTTAGGCCAGGGTTTGACTTCGTGTGGACGGGGCCTGAAACTATAGTTGTTCAACATCAGAGTTGTCAAGTACATAAGTACACTTTTTAGGTATTTATACTTTACTCCATTTATCCTCCTACTTCTGACTTCTAGACATTACATTTTCACACAAGTATCTGTTCTTTCTATTCCTTACATTTTTAAAAGAAACGTTACTCGTTACTCTTGGCTACGGTTTAATGCAGAGGTCATGGATTAGCGGAACGCGCCACTTCTCCTGTTACCCTAAAATCCCCCATCCTTTGTCTCTGCTCTGCCCCGCAGCGCTCCAGACTTCCTGCGCAATGCAAAGGCTACAGCCTCTGCTGTTCCTCCCATATTGCTGCGCTCCGACTTATTCTCCTTTCTTGAGGAGAGCATGCTCAATATTACCATGAAATTCCTAGGAGCAAAAGATGCAGGAATTAACACTTAATTTAATATGACATATTAAAAAAATCCCCATCAGCATCCTGCATATGTGCGGTTTCTGATGGAGATGAGAAATCTGCTTCCTGTTATGTTGAAGTACCAATGGTTTGCATCCAATCTTTTAAATAATCTGTGTTGGTTTTTTTAAATATATAGGAATTATGCTCTAATTTGTAGTTATTGCCTATCTGTTATTACTATATTTTAATTTGACAAACCGGATATTCTTGCTGTTCTTTTTCCTGTTTGGTGAGATTGCAATAGCGGATCTTGACCTGGCCGGACCGGAGCGGAGCAGCCTAAAGCCCACTGCTCTAATTAAGCCAGAAAAAAAGAAAAATAAAATAATAAATAAACAGTCAGTTCAGGGGTTTTATAAAATATGAGAATCAGGAATTTTCTATATACCAAACTGAAAGATTGTTGTTCTCTACTTCAAAAAACACTTAAGATTTTGACATGGAAAATTTTATTTTTTTGTTATTTATATTTTTTTATTTAAAAATTCAATGTTTAACATGAATGAATGAAAACCCCATTTTATTTCAGTGTTAAATTCTGTTTACTTTAAACAGATCATTAAAAATGTCTCTGGACCTTTACTGGTTGATGATTTTCTTTATTAAGACCCCGCTGATTTTTAATTGGTTAACCCTGGTTTCATGTTTATAAATATTTATTTCACGCCGTCCAATGCAGATCATTGGCGCCATCCCCATCTAGTGAAAACTAGTGTAATTGGATGAGTCATATAACGCAAACAGTCATTGGTTAGCTGAAGGAAATCATCAGAAGCAAGCAGGTGTTCTTCAAACTGCTAACAGGAATTGTCCATGCCATACTACAATGTTGGATTCAGAAAAAGATGTTTAAATGTCTGAAAGGTCAGACACAGGCGAGAGCGTATCGGGAGATGGAGACCAACAATTCCTCCCTTATCATTGGCCCTATCTCAAAGAATTTTTCGAAATAGTTGAAAAAATGGAGCTTTCAATTCATATAGTGACATCTGGCTGTTTTTTTTTTAAAGGTTAATTTATACTTTGTACTTTAAGTAGTTCTTGGATCACATACTTTTTCACTTTTACTTGAGTAAAGAGGTCAAGCTGATACTTCAACTTTTACCAGAGTGTTTTTAAACTGCAGTATCTATACTTCTACTTAAGTAACAGATGTGGGTACTTTTGACACCACTGTTCAACATGCAATGAGGGGAGTCACCAAATAGATGGGTTTAGAGATAGCAACATACTTTTCTAACTATAATCTGTGATTCTGTGAGTACGGCGAAGTATTAG